AGAGACATTCTGCAGACTTGATGAAATAAGTGACAATGTTGGAGAAGGTCACGTGGCAAGGAACTATGTGATTTTAGGAACTGGATGGCATCTATAACCTTAGGGTAGTCTCCAGCTAAATGCCCACAAAAAGCCAGGGCCCTCAGTCATACAATCACAAGAACATTAATTCTGACAATAACCTGAATGATCTTGGAAGCAGATTCTTCCCCAACCCAGCCTCTAGATGAAAATGCAGTTCAAATAACACCTCGATCACAGCCTTGTGAAACCTTAATGACCTAGTTAAGCTGTGCCCAGACTCCTGAACTACAGAAAGTGAAATAATAAATGTGTGTCTTTCAAGATGCTGAATTCATAGTGACTTGTTACACAGCAATAGAAAATGAATATATCTCGCATGAAAAGTTCATCGTGACCCACTGAAGGACATCAGGATAAGTTAGGGGAGCCAGGCATTATGACCGCGAAGTCAGTAGATGACTTTGGCTAGAGCAAATGGCACGTTAGAGGACAAAACTTAAAAGATAATCTAAGGGGATAGTATATGGGGGCTCTCTCAGTTTTTCTGCAAACCTATACTACTCTAAAAAATAAAGTCTATTAATTTAAAAAAAAACAGTCTAAGCACATAATATAAATATATATATGCCTTACTGTTAAAATGTACAGCTGAAACTTATTGGATTATGTTAACCAATGTCACCATAAAAAATAATTGGAAAAAAAAAAAAAGTCTGATGTCAAATCATGGAGGGCCTCACATGCCACACTACTAAATAGGCAATGCATAATCAATGTATACATTTCTAAGGAGAGCTGACCTAATCTGACCTCTGCTTTAGGAAAATTCTAGGCGCAGTGCAAAAAAGGTAAGTAAATAGGCCATTGTATTATTTCACCGAAGTACCTGGATTAAGACAGGTTAACAGGAATGAAAAGGACAGGTAATATCTCCTGTAGTATAAATGACAGGATGTGGCAACTGATTAGATTAAAAAAAAAAAAAAAAAGGGACGCTGTCTGAGCCAAAGAGGACTTGGGTATTTCTAGCCAATGACATTAGGAGGGCAGAAGGCGCTAGTTACCATTAAATGAGAATAGAAATGAAGAAGATTGATTCCAGAAAGGACAGATAATGAGCTCCAAGAAAGCCAAGACAGTAAGACACAAAGGGGAAAGAAAAAAAAAAATTCACAGCAATAAAAAAGACACACAGCATTACAGTACAGAAAATGCTTTTACAGTATAAGAGATAAACTACTAAATACATTTATATCCAGTCAGCCCCTAGAGCTAAAAGTTTTACCCATTTTCAAAAGAAAAACTGATGTTAGAAATTATTTCACCCAACATTAGCCTCTCCACCTCCACTGTTACATATTAAAAAAAAAAAAGTCCAAAGAGATTAGATGGTTTGCTTAAAGTTACCAACTAATTAGTGGCAGGGCCTAGATTAGAATACAAGTCTATGACTCTCAGTCTACTTCATGTTCTGAATCATCTTAGAGGCAGTTCTTACATAAATCACTTATCTATGTCCCTTATGGCCAGAAATGACCATGTGGGCATACCAGTACTTCAAATTGTCTTCTGTTGGTTCTTTCTGTCAGGAGGTACAGATCCTATTGTACATATGAAGAAATGGTTCTTCTGTATATATGATAGAAATCATATATGGCAACAACTAGCAGAACAGAAAAGGAACCAGGCAGCCTATTTCTGAAGGAAAAAGGAGGACAGTAAACTAAAGCCCTGAGAAATATCACTGAGGATTTATATCAGCAGTGCCACACTTCCTCCACACACATAGGTGTCCCCATTCCTATACTTCAATACCCAGCAGAAGAAATCCTACCCACAGCCATGAATGCCATCACTAGTGGCTGAAACTAGTGAAAATCAAATTGCAATAGGCATTTTCAACTATTACCTACTTTAAAAGTCTCCACTGATACATACCCAATTCTCAGAGATAAAATAATCCTAGTAATTAATGCATTCGATTTTAAAGGGTAGGTCTGGGAATCTGCCTACTATGCTCAACATAATTTCAGTGGGGAAATGCATTTTGAGTTCAAACAAAAAAATTATTTCATAACTCAAGACTACCTTCCATTTGTATAGTATATCTCAGTTCAGACCAGCCACATCTCAAGTGTTTGATAGTCTTCCATTATACTGCCAACAGAGCGACTTAATCTATACTATAAGGTGTCCTGTGACAACTCTTTTCTCTGAATTTATAATACAGAGTGAATTAATATGTAAATTATTAAAATTATTCAAATATTTAATTGTTGCCTTTCTTAAATACCCTACAGTATCCGTTTGAACAAAACTAAATATAAAAAGAAACCTAGTTTAAAAAAAGAACAAGACATCTTAGCAAAGTTTTATACATTCATTTTGCAGAAGGATCTTATTTGACCTCAAGTAGTTCACCACACCCTTATGCAACAATCCAGAATGTTCATTTTCACAAAAACTTTTCTAAGACAAATATGAATACCACCAATCAACTAAAATAATATTTAAACCAAGTTCTAACATACTACTTAAATCAATTATCCAAGTACACCTAATCTGTTTTAGACAATATTCACAGTCATTACAAAAAGGACAAATTTCTCAAACCATACATATAAAGAACAATGGAATTTTTAATTTTTTATTAGTTCAACTGTGCTTTTCATCATGTAAAAAGTTCAGTGGAAAATGCATAAGTGCTCTCGCAATTTTTCTGGTTCTGATGCGCATCACTGTTCCATCGTAAAGTGGCTTCTCTCTGTTTATTGCCTAACTACTTACTTAACACTACTCTTTTGGAAAACTTTCCTTGATTATAGAATCTCAACATTAAGGACCATAATTTCTATTTTTACATTTTATTTTTCTTGGGTATATCTTATTTGTTTTCTTAAAATCTCAATTAGGTAAGAAATTTTTCATATACAAGGACTATATCCTCTATTACTTAGGCATCTATCTCTAAAGATAAGACTAGCAAAATGGAAAAAGGCAAAACTTTGACAGAAAACAGATGTGTTAGTGAACCAGTTTGCCACTTCCAAGCTGGATGACCTTTGTCTCAGATTCTTTATCAGTAAAATGAAAATTTAAAATATCCATTTTGAATGTTATTATAATACAAGTACATGGCATAGACAACTTGATAAAAAAAATACTGCTATCACTGATAAAAATAATCTAAAGCTGCTCCTGTCAAAAGGTTAAACATGTTTGTTGATAGTAAAATCTTTTTAGAAGTTATATAAAAACCTCTTCTATTCTTTACCAGCAAGCTTTAAAGTCTTGTTCCCATTTCCACTCCCTCCCCAGATGAAACTGCCATTTTAAATGTCAAAATTAGCCCATTTATTGGCCATTTCACATGATCCAATCTGAAATTTACTTTTTCAATAAACACTTTAGTGATCCCAGCCTGGGCTGCCGTTGCTACACACAAGTAAAGGGTGCTAAATGAGGGCTTTGAAATAACAAAGTGAAATTTAAAAGTTCATTCTTATTTTTTTGAACCACAATAGTTCGTTCATCCTTTTTTTCCACTTTTTAAAATTTATTGGGGTGACACTGGTTAATAAAATTATATAGGTTTCAAGTGTACAATTCTATAACACATCATTTGTATATTGCATTGGATATTTACCACTCAGAATCAAATCTCCTTCCATCACCATATATTTAACACTCTTCACCCTTTCCTACCTCTCCCTTTTCCCTCTGGTAGTCACTAAACTGTTGTCTGTGCCTGAGTTTCTGCTTGCCTTGTTTGTTGCTTTCAGTTTTATATCCCGCATATAAATGAAATCACATGGTTCTCAACTTTTTCTGTCTTACTTATTTCGTGTAGCCTGATAATCTCAAGATTCATGTTTTCG